CCCAGCCGCCGGAGTTGTAGGAGGAGCCGCTGCCCTGCGACCCAGCGCTGTTCCACACGCCGCCCTCCTCCTCTTCCTCCCAGCTGGAGTGGCGGGAGGCGCTGACCGACCCCTCGCCTTCGCCCCAGCCTTCTTGCATAGACTTCGGTCCTGCGGGCACAGGGGGGGGGCAAAGGTCACGCAAAGCCGGTCGCGCCACCCGAGCAGGAACCTGCGGGGTCGGGGTTCGGGGGTCACGCGGCTCTCACCAGGTTTCACGGAGCTGGGAGAGGGGTTCCCCCAGCCAGGCGCGGCCTTCCCAGAATCCTCGGCGTCGCCCCAGCCGGAAGCGGCGTCGGTCGGCTTCCCCCAGGCCGCCGTCCCGTTGTCCACCGCGGGGCCGGAGGGGCCGGAGCTGCCCCCCCAGACTGGGCAGGAGAGAGGGAAGAGAGAGCACAATGGTCAGAGCCGGGCCCCCAGAATCGGGCCGGCCCACCCCCTCCTCTCCGGGGCTCGCCTCTCGGAGGGGTGTCGGAAAGTAGATGAGACTCGGGGGCGCTGCTTCAACTCGCGCCCCCCGCGCTCACGACGCACAACGCAACCCCGCAGACGCACAAACACACGGAGGGCCGCACAACTCAACACAACTACTCATATAAGGAGTCCGCTCTGCAAAATTTACACTCTTCCTGAACCCCAGTACCCAGACTTGATACTTACCAAGCCCGGGGCCTTTCCCGGGGAGGCTGGGAGCTCCAGGGCCCGGGTTCGAGTCCCTGGGCCCAGAGGGGACAGGCTGGTGGCCTTGCCTGCCTTGGTGCTGCTGCTGTTGTGGGTGGGCAGCCTGCTGCTGCTGCTGTTGGCGTTGCTGCTGCTGCGGCTGCTGCTGCTGCTGCTGCTGCTGCTGCGGGGCCTGCACTGGCGGCGTCTGGCCAGAGGGGGCGCTGTTCTTGTCCCAGAGGTTGACGGCCTTGTAGTTGTAGTGGCTCGGGTCGCCCCAGGCCGAGGTCCCGTCGTCGATCTCCAGCTTGCGGCTGATGGACTGGGGGGAGGGCTCCTCCCAGCCGCTGGGCTCGATCCCGTCTCCCGGTCCGCTGGCCACCTGAGGAATGGGGCCAGAGGTCCAGCCGGTGCTTTGGTTCTGGTTCTGGTTCTGGTTCTGGAGCCCGGCGCCCGGGGGAGGCGCTCCAGTTCGGCCCCAGCCCCCCTGCGCGGAGCCCGGCTCCAGGGTGGACTGCTGCTGCTGCTGTCCCTGGGTCTTCAGGGCGGCTGCCTGGCTGTTTGGTATCTGGTTGGGTTTCCCCCAGCCTTGGTGCGGCTTGCCTCCAGGGTCCCCCGTCGCACCCCCCCAGCCCCTCCTCGTGGGGCCCCCCTCGTCCCAACTGCCCCAGGCCCCGCCTTCCGAGCCTTTCCCTTCGTCCCATCCTCCTCCTCCTCCTCCTCCTCCTCCTGTTTTGGTGTCGCGGTCGCCCCAGTCGTTGCCCCCTCTCTGGCCCCAGCCCCCATCCCTGATCCCCACTTCCTTCCAGCCGCCCCCAGTCCCCACCCCCTTCTCCTCCTGGCCGCCGCCCCCCCAGCCACCCCCGATCCCTCCTCCGCCGGGGGGGCCCTGCTGCTCGAAATCTCCCCAGCTGCCCCCCCCTCCCCGGCCTCGCTCTCTCCAGTCCTGCCCATCGCTGCCCCACCCCTGCCCCGGGGGCTCCCCCGCCCCTGCGCCCCAGCCCCCAGAATTCTTCCCCTGGCCGCCGGCCGCCATGCCCTGGTTACCGTTGCCGGGGGCGCCGCCCCCCACCGCCGC